TAATTGCAACTTATTATCAGAAGATATTATTATCATATTTATACAATTTATTATAATTTAAATATTTAAATTTAAATATTTAATTTAATCATTATACTAAAAATTATACATGAAAGAATAACATCATACTTTTAAAAGAGTTTTAATATAATTCAAGACATTATTATTTTTAAGAATGTCCATATGATTTACACTAGGGAAGACTTGAGAATAAACCTTTTGTTTTTGTTTACCTTGCCAATATTTACAACCCTCTAAACTTCTTAAATTTACAGTACCATCACCATCACCAGGAATTAATTGAGGAATTCCTTCTATTGATGTACCAGGTTTATAATATAATCTAATAGTTTAAAATGTATTATTTATATAATAGTGTATTATATTATATAAAATATACTAAATATCCGAAAAAATTTATAGCTTATTACTAATCTAGTTAGAATATAATTAAATACCTTTGCACTGTATCTATACCACTTCCATATAGACAATGTACTTCAACTTCTGGTGCAGTAAAATTTAACTGATATTTTTCATTATCTTTTCTAAATTCCCAACCATTTGGAACATTTATATCTCTATAAATGTTATTTTTAATAATATAAGTTTTTAATAATAAACCATTGATTAAATGAATAAATATAAATATTATTAATAATGAATAAAATAAATAATAATTATTAAATATTATTAAATAATGATTATACATAAATCATTATCTATATATATTATATCTTACATTAAATAATCTTGTAATGTCAATAATGTATAGTTTTTTTGTTCTGATTGCACTAATATTTCTGTATCTTTCCAAAATAATCGCGATGGTAATAACCAGCCTAAACTGGGATTAGTTATTTGTTCATCTTTAAGAATACTTTGGCGTAAAAGATATGCACCTAAATCATCTCCTATAATTATAAAATAATTATAAAAATACTTAAAATATAATAAAAAATAATAAAATATAATATAAAATACTTATAAATAATTATAAAAATAAATTATAATACAATATTTTGATAATATTTTATACCAATTGCAAAAACTTTAAGTGCTTTAACACTTCCACCCCAAACAGCTGAAAGAGTAATTAAACAATTAATATATTTGTCTTTCCACTTTTGAGATTGACGTTGCAAAAATATAAGTGACATTGGTCCACCCATACTGTGTGCTAATAATGTCACAGGTACTTGTTTATTTATATTATATGTTTCTTCAATTAAATTTTTTAATTTATTAAAAAATATTTCATTTTCATCTAAAAATGAAAATTTTTTTCAATTATGAATTATAAAGATTAAGAATTTAAAACAATATTCTATAATATAAAATAATTATTATGTAAATATATATGCATATATACATACTAGGTGCTTTTCTAAAATCATATGGTGCACCTCGTATAGAATGATTCCTAACATATCCAAGCTCATTAACTAACATATTACCAATATCATTAAAATATACTCCAGGAGAAGCTTTACTTGGATCTAAATATTCAACAACAAATGGATCACCCCAGCCTGGTATACGTATATCAACACCATCTTGATTTCTTGTTGTTCTTGTAACATTGTCATAAATTAATTTCATATTATCAATCTAAAATACAATATTTTTATTTATCTCACATATTATGAAAAATATAAAAAACATAAAATAAAAAAATTACCCAACAATCTATAATAACTGGTACAAGTAATTCTAAATTTAACCAAATATTAAAATATTCAGTAGATACTTTTTCACATAAATAATGTACCACTTTTGTTTTGTTGAGTTTTGCTTCAATTTGACTACCGCCATCGCCTGGAACTTTTAGGCTAATCATATTAATTTTAATATTTAATATATATATTATCATTATATTATTTGATGTAAAAAAATAATTACCAAATATAATGGGAGATATTTGTTTATTTCGTAAATGCCACGAATTTGCAGATAGAATACAACGTAAAGAAATAATTGTGTAGATAATGAAGCACAGATGCATTTTACATTAAATGTTTCTGTTGATTAGATTTTCAATTGTATTATGCATTTCAATTTATATTATAAAATTAACTCTAAAATTTAGAATAACTTGAAATCATTACAAGTACGTATGATAAATAGATTGAAAAAGAAATGTTAATTATTTGTTTTTTTTATCTCGTATATAGTACGCAATCATTGACGCACACATTTGAAAGTTACACATATTTAAAATTTGTCTCGAGATTATATATAAAAAATCTTATTAATACTTTATATATATAAAATAAATATGATAATAATTTATTTCCTAATAATGTGTTTTAAAATAAACAATATATTTTTTCATCGAATATAAATATAATAAAAATTTTTATTTATTTAAAACATATTTTATTATAAAACATTTATGTTGATTAAAATGATTGAAAGAATTATAAGAAAAATATAATATTCAAAATGTAATTATTTCTAACAGAAAAGATTTTATATATTCAATTTCAAACTCTAATTGTAATAAAACTATAAACTTCAAGTGTAACTTTAATTATAATAAAATTATTACATAATGTTATTTTTAAAGACATAATAATTACATATTATTTATAAGTAAATATATAGAAATAATTTTTAGAAGATAATTATTTATATTAATTGTCTTATTTATTATTTTCAATTTTCAATTTTAAATATTAATTGAATAAATTTTATATTTTATTTTTATATAAAAATAATGAATTTATATCTAAAAAGAAAACTTAAAAAAAATAAGAAGAAAATAATATTAAATAAAAAATAAAATTATAATAATATAATTTATTTATATATAAATGATCAAATTCTGAAATGTTTATGAAGGAATACATAACTGTACTTAGATGTATGAAAATATACGATATTCTAACCTGAAATTTTCGAATAATAATTAATATGTACTATTATATTGTAAGAAATAATTAAAGAAATAAATCTGGAAAACCATTGTATTATGTAAATCAACGACTAAAATATTTGTTAATAAATATATCAAAATGCCAACAGTTATAGCATTAGACGTATCTTTATCAATGAGACGTCCGATATTAGGAAGCGTGTCTGGTGAAAGTAATCAAAATGAACAATTAACAAGACATCATTTAGCTGTACATGGAATAAATGCATTGTTACATTATTTACAAACGAATTCAAAGTTGGAATTTGTCGCTTTAGTAAGTGTTTCTGTTTCTAATAATAAATAATATTATTATTTCATTAATTTTAAATCATTAAATTATCTTTTTTCTAATTTAGGTTGTCTTTTCATCATTATATGAAGTTATTTGTCCATTCACTCGTGATTATGATAGTATACGTTCAAAATTACAATATATTGAAGAATGTGACAAAACTTGCATTGAAACTGCTCTTCATGGTGTTAATAATGTTATTATGGCAGAATGGGGCAATACTACTGCCTGTCAAGTAGTGTTAATTACTGATGGTAATCCTGGCGTAGGACCAATGTCTTTAGCTGACTCTTTAAATTCTTTAAATGTAACAAGAGATATAAATCTATTTCCATTACCATTTCCTTATCCAGGAAAACTAAGTGTTGTATGTATCTCATCACAGCAAGGTATGTCAAAATATGGTCATATAATATTTAAATATCTTTTTTTTGGAATTTATTAATTTCAATGTTTTTTTATTATTAGATTTTATTATTAGATGTTATTTTTTTATTAGATGCTGGTTTACATATTGCTTTACCATTATACCAACGATTAGTTGAACTTGCTGGTGGTGATAGTGTAGTATTAATTCCTGAAACACCAATTTCAAAACATTCAATTACAGCTTGTTTTCAAAAGTTAGCAGAAACTAATTATGTATCTTTTCAAGGATATTTGAAATGTGGAAATTTAGGTTCTCGTATACTTCTTTCACCAGCACCTATGGTAAATAATAATATAAATGAAGAAATAAATTCAATTAGAATTTAATGAATGAAACTATGTTTATTTGTTATTTTAGGCATATACTAAAAAGACTGATTTTGAATTAGTATCTGGTTTAATAATATCAAAAACTATAGAAATTTGTGGATTTATATCAGTAGCAGATGTTGGTAGTCCTAGTGCTATATCTAGACATTTAGTATTGCCATTATCTACAGAAAAAAATTCAAGTATGCAAGGAATATCTCTAGAAGAAGATTCAGATACAGATGAGAATGGAGATGAAGGGAAAGTACCATCCTTTTGTGTGCTGTTACATGGAGCTTTAAAGGTTACATTTAAATAAATTCAATTTTTTATTTTTCTGAAGATTATAAAATGAATATTTCTTATAGGTTGAAAATATGGTAGCTCTTTGTTTATTAAGTAGTGAATGGTATGGTTTTATATATTCATGGGCAGATACAAAAAAGAAATCAAACTTAATGTTAACAGTCTTGGAGCCAGGTTTAGATGTTGTACCTTGGTTAGGTAATTTTAGCAATTTAGGTCCTATTGATGCAGCTAAAGGTGCGATTATTAGTTTCCCAGTTAGACCAAATGAAAAAAGAAGTTATACTCAAAATGCACCTTCTTGGATTCGTCAAATTGGATTACAATCAGATATTCAAAAAATTTTAAGACATGCAAGAAAATTACCTGAAAAAACTCAAAATTTTTATAAGGTAAGATTTAATCTCCTTAAATGGAGGATTATAAATTTTTTAATCTATAATATTTATATTTTTGTATAGGAGGTAAATCGATTACGTAGAGCTGCAGCATCAATGGGATTTGTAGAACTTTTAGAAGGATTAGCTTGTATTTTGGAACGAGAATGTACATTATTACCTCCAAATTTAAACCCTGATTGTACAATTCAAATGGGTCATGTAGCATCTTTGATTAGAAAACCAGAATTTCTAGAGCTTAGATACAATATTCCACCAGCACGTACTAGATTTCAACATGGAGGATCATAAATAAAACAAAAATATGTTTATAATATATAAATATATAATTAATGTATATATTAATTCTGCACAAAATATTTATGTATCTTTGTATATTATGTCTATTTAGATATAATTGAAATTTTACTTTTAAATATTTTATTAAATATTTCGTTTCTTACTGAAGAAAAAAATTTTTTAATGATAAATCTAAAAAAATAAGTCTTATTGGATAAAAAAATAAAAATTTTAAAAAATAATTTCAAGTTTTGTTCAATTTATAATATTTTAGAATATTGAAAAAATTTAAAATAAATAAAATAGATTCAAGTATACCATGAATAATAAATTATAAAAATAGTTTTGATATTTTAAATAAATTTATTAATTTTTATTAGGAATAAATATTACATATTATATATGTAAATTATTTGAATTTACATTTAATATTATTGTTTTTATTTTTGTTTTATATTTTTAATTATATAATACAAGATATTGAATAAACCTTTTGCACTTTGTATACTTGAATATTGAGTGAGATCAGGAACATGAACAAATAATGTTCTTTTAGGTGAAATTTGTAAAGATTTATAAAATATATATTCGCATAAATATCTTCCTGCATCATATGAAATACAAGCATGACATTTTGTTTCATTTGAATTTTCATTAATTATATTACAGATTTGTGTAACATTAATTTCAGTTTCCAAAACTTCAGTTTTAATATTACTTTCATCTGGACATTTATTAAATATATCTGGTCTTAAATAACCATTACTATGAGCACAACATTCTATAGTCAAACATTGTGCTTTATAACTTACTCCTATATGTAAAACTACCTAAGAAACAAAAGCAAAAAAACAAATTATTTATATATAGAATCTTAAGATATAATTGTATAAATTGAAATTTACTATAGGTTTATATTCTTTCCAAAATTTAGGTATATACATAATAACATCTTCATAAGAAACTGGAATCTCTTTCACAATTATATCAATATCCTTCATTTTTTTTGAATTAGCGCATAGTTTACTTAATTCTTTTACAGCTTCCCAACTGGCATTAATAATATGATTACCAAATGGACCAAATCCGGTTATTAAAATTGTATTTTTGTTAATTTCCATTATTAAATTTAATTATTTTATCTTAAAAAGATTTTTTTTGTTGCAGTAATGCTTCATACAATATACAAATCCATTATCTTTTTTTTTATCACGTGTAAAATATACTAATATGGAAATTTTAATAGATTAAAAGATTACTAATTATGGATTTTTTAATAGAATAAAAAACATGTTATATATTTAATTTTTATGTACTTAATCTTTTTTTTTTGCTAAATATACAATTAAAAATATTTATATCTACTAAATATTATGAATATTTATATATTTATAATTATTTATCTAATATAATAGCATCTATATAATAGCACATTATAATTTATTTATGCATTTATGCATTTATTTCACTATTTTTTCTTTTGATATATGAGATACTATCTTGTTTATATTTTACCAATGATTCATGAGAGAAAATTAGTTAGGGAAAATGGCTGACTATACAGTAATGTTTTGACAATTTTAATTCTTTTATTATATTAATTTCAGAAAAAAGTGTATAATATATTAAAATATCAATCTATTTATATTGTAAAATATATTCTTTGGTGAAAGTTAAAGATATCTCTTGATATATATGCCTCAATTAATAAGAAAAAACTTATCAAAACTTGTTTGAACGTGTTTCAAGTAGCTGCCATTAGGAAATGCTCATTATAAACGTCTGAATAATTTCTTTCAATAATTTTGTGAAGACATGCATTAAAATTTTTATACGCTGTAAATATGTATATATATATGTATATTTATGTTTATACACTTTTGTGTTTAAAATTGAATTTGTTTGTAAAAAATAATTTGTTTTACATTAAATTTTGAATTACAATTTAAATAATTAATTTACAATATTAAATTTACAATTTAAATATAATATAGTTTATAAAGAATCTATAATTATTTAAAGAAAATTAATAATTAATTTATGCATTTTAAAATAAGACATTTTTTATTGTAATATTTTTTAAATATTTATTTAAAAATAATGTATTTTGTTGTAGATAATCAAGATTTTCTATTGATTAATATATTTATGTAATATTGATATAATGGCATATTATTCATAATGTAATAGTGTTTATAATATTTTTGTAAAAGAGAAATGAAAATGAAATACTTTTGAGGGCAATAAGATGCCTGTCAATCCATTCAATAATGGGACAGCATTTCGCTAGTCTCAAAGAATTTTTTAGAATGGACAATGAAAGGCAATCTTCTGAAACATGTAATGCTATACAACCAACACAATTAGAAATAATGAATCAAGATGGTATAGAAAATTTACATAATAATGAAAATAATGGAAATGTATCTACATTGAATTTAAGTTTAATTCTTCATGAAGAATGTAAAGCAGATCGAAGTTTGGATAATGATCATGTAAATTTAGATCTAGATAATCATAATTCTAGATTTGAAACTTTATATAGTCAACCAATTGAGACACAAAATTCAAAACAAATTTGTAGTAATGGAAACATTAATAAAGAGATATGTTTTAAACAACAAGAGGCATGTTGCAGTAGTTCTGGAAGTAGTAATACTAGTAGTAGTTCTGAAGATAGTCCTATAAATCCTTCTTTAAGAAGATCTTCTAAAACTTTATCATTTGGAAAGAGAAAAGGTAAAAATATATCTTTGTATTTTCTGTCTTTTTTTATGAATTTCAATAATACATAATACATATAAATATGTATAATATATAATATGTAATATATAATATATAATATACACATATTATATATTATATATATAATATGTGTATAAAATTTAATTTTAAATTTTTAATTTTATATTTAGGCAAACAACGTAATAAAGATCAAAATTCAATATGTACTCATATTTTGTCTTCAAAGAAAAAACGAAGTAACTGGGTGTTAAAATTTAACTGTGCTAAAAATAAAAATTCTAAAAGCACAGATATTATTCCTGGTCAGGGAAATAATAATTTAGATTGTGTTTGCACTGGTTATAGAAGAACTGAAGAACATTCTATGGGAGCTAGTGTTATATTTAATAGCCGATCTGCTCCTCAAAGTCCAATACTTGGACCACTTCCACCCAGTCCTATAATTAATCTTTCAAGATTTAATCCAGAAGAGTTTCCAATGGAAGTATGTATTATTAATATTTCAATAATTTATTATTATTATTATTATTATATATATATATAATTATTTAATATTTATATTTATTTAATATTTCATTATAGGATTGTGACAAAAGAGCACGATTACAACGTGCACGAGAAATGGAGGAAGGTGTTGAACCTCCTCCTGGTTATAAGCCTAATTATCCTTCTGGAATTCAAGTACATCCAAATGGAATAACAGTAGACAGTTTAGCAGCTTTATTCCAAGCGCATGCTGGTATACAAGCTGCTGCTCTTACAGCTTTATCACAAATTGATTTTACATTAATTCCAAACATTGAGAGGCCAGCACATACTCAAGTAAATTAATTGATTATTTTTATTTGAACATAGGAAAAAATAAATTGGTTATTGTTAATTGATATTTATATTTTTAATTTTTTTAATAGGTTGATTATGTTCATTGTCTTGTGCCAGATCTTAGATCAATTACAGCTTGTTCTTTCTATTGGGGTAAAATGGATAGATATGAAGCTGAACGTTTGTTAGAGGGTAAACAAGAAGGTACATTTTTGTTACGTGATTCGGCTCAAGAGGAGTTTATTTTTTCTGTTAGTTTTCGAAAATATGGACGGTCATTACATGCTCGAATTGAACAATGGAATCATAAATTTAGTTTTGATTCACATGATCCAGGAGTTTATGCTTCGGAAACGGTATTTTTATTTTCAAAATTAAATATAGAAAATACATTATATAGATATTCGAAATTTCGTGTATTTTTTCAGGTATGTGGTTTAATTGAGCATTATAAACATCCATCATGTTCTATGTTTTTTGAACCTATGCTTACTATACCATTTCATCGAAATTTTGCTTTTCCTTTACAACATTTATGTCGAGCAGTAATTACTACACGAACGACATATGACGGTATTAATAAGTTACAATTGCCAAAGACGCTTAAAAGTTATCTCAAGGAATATCATTACAAGCAAAGAGTACGGGTTAGACGATTAGATACTGAGAATGACTTACAATCAGATGGAAGATCCATATCATATTTACCTTTAATATAAATCTCTGTATTAATATTTAATAGAGTTTATCAGGCATTATTTTATTGACTTTACATTCGTATTTACTACTTTATTACAGTGATATGTGGTGTATATATAATAGTAGAATTAAAATCACTGCACGGAATACATAAATGATACATATAAAAACTGTAATTTTTCGTAAATGTTACAAAATTTAAAAAACAATATTTTTTTGTTTCAAATATAATCCGTCCTTTATTTTCTTCACATTATAATATCAAATAAAATATTGTTATTTTACTTACGTATCACATATTTGCGATTATAATTATATTTCTTATGCATATTTGTAATTATGAATATTATGTATAATCAATTTAAGAAATTTTAGAAAGTTCAATTTGGAATTATTTCTTTATATATAATATTATAGTACTAAAGATATTGGAATTATTTTTGAAGGCACTTAATATTTAACAAAAAAATCATAATAGCAAATTATAATAACAAAATATACATATTCTACATAAAACAAAATATGAGCATAATTAAAATAGTTGTTACTTTCATTTTAATATCATTTCTAATTTGTATTATAAATAAATGAATTGGTAAAAGAAGAAAAAGAAAAAAATACAATAACAATACGTAAATAAATTAAAACAATAACCATATAAATACACTGCATATTATATCTTATAATTTAGTGATTAAATTTTTCTTTATATTATTTTTAACATTTATTTGTAATTAAATTAGTTGATATTCATTTCAAATATAATTTAGTTGATATGTTAAAAAATAATTAAAAATATCTGAAATCTAATACCATTGTGGTATGTTATATTAAAATATATTTGCTGATTTTAAATTTGTACTTGTTCTGTATATTTATTATTATTATTACATATTAAAAATATTTTACATAAATAATTATTTTCAATCTTAAAAGGAATAGTTATCAAATATATTTCATTTTGCAAAGGATTTTTCTCATGTAACAAAGCATTTATTACTATTAAATTATTATTAAATATAAAAAAAATGAATTACTACAATTATTAGTTAATTGAATATTTAATATTTAATTATATAATAAAATATACATATGGTTTTAAATAGAGATATTTCCTTAATAAAATATATTAATTCATTTTAAAATGCTAAAATCATATATAACTTTGAATACAAATTTACTTTCCATATAATGTTAATTATATGTTAGAAATTTTTTTAATTAAAATACAAGAATAAATTGTTTTTCTTAGAATAAATATAATTAAAATATTATTGATTTTGAATGTAACATGTACTGTATAATTGGTAATACTATTTTACAATTGAATATAAAAAAGAAAAAGAAGAGTATAATAAAAAATATATCTATATGTATTATAGGAATAATAAAATAATTTTCAAATGTTTTATTATAGTAGTTTGTTACTATTTTTTAAATGTATAAAATTATATATTGTAATATTTTTTGAATAGATTTTAATTTTTATGTACATTTTAGAAAGGATACTGATGAAATTTCTTTCCCATTCTTCAACCATGTATAATTCCGTAACAAGCATGTATCTAAAATACCAATATTTTAAGAAAGAAAATAATTTTTGTAGTGGATTAATCATATTTCTTATGTTATTTATGGAGTGCTTAAATCGAAACAATAAACTTATATTACTAAGTTATAAAATAATTACACATAACATATTTTGGGTTATATACCAACTTAAAAGCATGAAATATATATCATTATGTTATCGCATGAACTTGGCTTTATTAACGTTGTAAATTTTGTAATATCTGCTTCAATGTATCAATAAATAAAATGAGAGCGGATTTTTTGAAAATGACTGAGCAGATGTGAATATAAAGTATATTTTGTTTAAGTATTTTTTGTGAAATTCATTGTGAAAAAGTAATTACATTTTACTTATTAAATATTAAAAATTTTTTTAAATTAATTTATTGTAAACTGAATATGAGAAATGTCAGAATAATTTTATAAATAGAAAATATCGAATAGCAAAATTTAAATTTTTATTTTGAATATTCCGCGTATTTTTGGTGAATAAAGCAAATCAATATTTTATAGATATCAAACTATATTCTTAATTTCTTGAATTTTTATAAATTTGTAACAAGTATAAAGAATCGAATTTATAAAGAATCGATTCAAACTATAATTTGATATAATATATTAATAATAATATCAAATAATATAATAATAAATAATTAATGATGACATTGTTTTGTCGAAAATTTGAATTCTATTTTAACATTATGATAAGAAAAATGAGATATAATTATTTTTTTTCTTAGAAAATAAATCTAAAAATATATAATTAAATATTATATGTAACAATCTTGCATAAATAATGCATAAATATTATAATAATCATTATTATAATAAATATAGAAAATATATAAATTAATATATAAATATTAAAATATTTATTTTAATATAAACTTTATATTCAAAATTAATGTTTAAATGTTTAAATAATAATTTGTATAATATAATGTTATGTTGTGATGCTTAATTAAAATTTTAAAATATTTTAAAATTTTAAATTTGAACAAATATTAATATAAAATAAATTTCAACCAATTTAAGACATTATATAGAATTATAGTTAGAAATTAATAAAAGAAATAAAATTTCTAATATCAAATAATATTAAATAAATATAGTAGATATAAAAACTGTTTGTATATATGTAATTAATTTCAACAAAAAAGTAATATTTTTAGAAATTTACTGAATAATTTACAAAAAATAAAAATTGTGATATACATATTGTAAAATATATTGTTAATTATTTAGAAAATAATTTTATCATTAAAAAAAAAATTTTTTTTATTAAAAACAATTTAGAATATAATATAATTGTGAATAAAAATTGTCCATTATTAAGAATAATTGCAATAAAAATTATCAAAGAGTTTAAAAATTATCAATTATTTGGACATTAGTATATATTACAGATTAATCCTTTTATGTAGAAATATAGCAACATCATATTTATATTGAGGATTTTTTTCCTTCCTTATCTCCCTCAATATTTTATTAATTATTATATTAATCAATATTATATTAATTATTATATTAATATTCAAATATTATATTAATATTTCACAATATTATTAATTTATAAAATTTTAAGAATAAAGTTCTAAAAAACCTTGATGATTGATACGAAATTTGAAAATTTAATAAAGAAAAAAACTTCTAATAAAGACTTCTAATAAAATTTAATAATAAAATAAAATTTTAATTTCAATCAATTATTACTTTCTAAAATAAAAATTTTTTAACAATATATATTGAATATATGTTTTTAATTTTTTTATATTTATCTCTATTATATTTATCTCATTATAATTACAAAAGTGAATTTCTATTTTTGAAAATAATAATCCAAATGATTACATACAAGAATTTAAAAATTTTATATATAAGTTAAGACAAAAAGTTTTTATTAACCAAAAATAATGAGTATATTTTAAATAAAATACTTTTAAATATTTGATCAAATATTTAAAATAATTGAAATTTTCTACTAAATTATACATAATTAATAATAGTAATAGTAATAATAATAGTAATAAATTTTAACTTATTTTATTTTTATTTGTATTTATTTTGCAATTTTGATTGTGATAAATCAAATGTGATAAATAAATTTTATCACATTAATTTTATAAAAAAGACAATTTTTTATCAAATTTTCAAATATAAAATTCTAAATATCAAAAAATTTCTTATTCATCATATATATCGTTTCTTCAGAAATTTATTATTAATACATATATATTATATATAAAATGTAAATTGTAATTTATATTATAATATGAACTTAAATTAATCAATATCAATATAATATTGTAAAAGAACTTTAAATCTTAGATTTGGACTAAATTCTTAAATTTTTTGATGAAAACTGCAATATTAAATTTGCGTCGCTTCTTATTTATTAAAATTTGATTTAATATTTAATATTTATTAAACATCATTATAAAAATTTTTAAAAATTTTAAAAATTGAAAATATATCTATAAAAAAAGAAAAAAGAAAATATAAAAAATTTGTTGCGTTTCAAAAATATAGTTGCTGAATATATGATACAAAATTGAATTGTTATATGAAGTAATAAAATGTAAAATTTACTTATACCGTAGATAAGGTGACAAAAACGAAAATCATTAGCATTCTTCAGTTTTCATTGTATTATTGCAAATTAATCCTATAGAATTGACATAGAATTAAGTAAAAAAATATATTGCAATGAAGAATGCAACATTTAAATTTCAAGAGAAAAACAAAATGATAAATTTTCGAAATTATAAAAAGAATTACGAAAGAAGATTAAACAAAATGTATATTATAAAATGTATTAAAATGTATAATTATAAAATATATACTATAAAATCATATTATAAACAAAATTGAAAATAAATTTTGAGAATTAAATTATATTATAGACAATAAATTGAAATCTTTTATAATTAATGTAAATGACTTCGATAATTCGAAATCAAATATAATTTATATTAATTTCAGATAAAAAAATATTTATTATTTATATTATTTTTTTTCTAATTTAATAACAATGCTTCAGACAATGTTTCAGAGAATGTCAGAAAAAACTCAAAAACCATATCATACTAACAGGCCATGGTTGTATCTGTTTTTCTCTTTTAATATGTACTTTTTTATAATTTTAATATGTATTTTTAATCAAAGAAAAAACTGAAATTGAGGGAGACAAGGAAGAGAAGAAACCCTGAATCTTAGCTTCAAATTTTTATTATTATTTTTGAGATTATTTATAAAAAATTTTATAATACATTATAAAATATAATATAGATATAATACATTAATACAATTGAAGAGAGATTGAATTCTGTTTATATACACATACTTGGCAATCCTTCGGATCCGCTGAATGCAAAAATAAAATAAATAATAAAACAATCGTTGAATCAAAATTGAATATCAACAATGAATATTAATAATCATTTTTGGCATGTTATAATTATAATCCAAAAATTTCTATCGTTAATTTCTTTATAGGTAATCAATGATTCACATATGACTCTTCTTTTTACTTATGAGTCTTTCCTATTATATTCCTTAGAATGCAGAAAGAGAAATGCAAAAGAGAGAAGAAAGATAGAGAAATCATAATAATTTTCATGCTGCTTATTAAGGCGTAACATATTAATATATATTAAAATATATTAAGTAAAATATATTTTCATATAAAACTAAATTGTTGACTTTTTTTATGATCATGATTTTTGTTGTCGTCATATTATTATGAAGTTATGATATTTAATATCGCTTGAGAATCACGAGAAAAAGAAATATTGCTTAGAATCTAAATCTAAATCTAAAGAAATGTGTCATTTGGTATGTGACTAGTATTCTTTTCTGCTTAGTTTTTTCCTGCTTTTATTATTCCCAATCAGAATAGATGTTATATCATAGAGATTAGATATATTTAGATACATTATAAATATATCGCGTTTGGTAATCTTATCTATAATTATTGGCTTATAACATAAATTAATCAATTATGTATCTTTCATTTTGATTTATAATTTTCTGCTATTTTTAGCCTTTCATAAAAAAATTGTGAAATTTAAAAATTGGAATAATTAATAATATAAATATATATTATATATAATAATCTACGTTATCCTTTTTTAAATAAATGATTTATGATTATAATGAATTTAATGTTTCTGTTATAAATTTCCATTTTTTGTCATCAAAAACAACTTTTTAAAAATACTTTTCTTTATTGTTTTAGTAGCAAATTAACTTAAAAAAAATTTTAAGTTAAAACCGATTATCTAATGATTTTATTTTATATAAAACATAAAAATTGTGATAAATAATTAAATCTTAATGATATGTAATCAATTAAAAATATTTATTGTTGCATACAAAACTTAAATGTTAATAAAAATCAATAGTTATAAGTAATATTACTATGAAATATTGATAAAATCATCTTTCATTTATTTAAATTCTTGATAAATTTTCGGTAACAAATGTTATTGAAATAGCATTCTATGTATTATATTTGTTTATACATTATAAATATATTTATAATATATATAAATACATTTCAGTGAAATAAAAGAAATAATAATTATTGTAATTAAATTGAGACAAACTACAATAGTAAAAATTAATTATTTATTATTATAAAAATAAGAAAAACTATAATAAACTATAATAAACTATAAATATTATAATAAATTAATAATTCGATAATAAAATTAATCGAAGTAGAATACCGTTTAATATTATAAAATACTATAAATAAAAAATATGATAAAAAGAATCATATATTGAAAAAACTGATTTGATAAGAACCTAATATGAGAAATGAAAAATTGATTTAAAAATTAAAGCTGATTTTAAATTAGTGCATTCTAAATTAGTATTTTATATTAAAATATTTGAATACAAAAATAAGTAATTCAATTATT